GCTATCTACTGTCCGCATAATTGCTACTTTCAACTTTCAACTATATTTTCTCTAGGAACATATCTAAACAGTGGAACTAAAGCGCGAGCTACGACATGATTTGCAAAATCCTTTTGACTATGTTCAGGATAATTAAGTTCATCTTATGAACTCCCACTCAGATAGACATCCCTCTAGTCATCTAAGTGATCACATGATCCGAGTCAACTAGGCCGTGTCCGATCATCACGTGAGACGGACTAGTCATCATCGGTGAACATCTTCATGTTGATCGTATCTACTATACGACTCATGCTCGACCTTTCGGTCTCCGTGTTCCGAGGCCATGTCTGCACATGCTAGGCTCGTCAAGTTAACCCTAAGTGTTTTCGCTGTGTAAAACTGTCTTACACCCGTTGTATGTGAACGTAAGAATCCATCACACCCGATCATCACGTGGTGCTTAGAAGCGACGAACTGTAGCAACGGTGCACAGTTAGGGGAGAACACTTCTTGAAATTTTGTAAGGGATCATCTTATTTACTACCGTCGTCCTAAGTAAACAAGATGCATAAACATGATAAACATCACATGCAATCAAATAGTGACATGATATGGCCAGTATCATTTTGCTCCTTTTGATCTTCATCTTCGGGGCTCCATGATCATCATCGTCACCGGCATGACACCATGATCTCCATCATCATGATCTCCATCATTGTGTCTTCATGAAGTTGTCACGCCAACGACTACTTCTACTTCTATGGCTAACACGTTTAGCAATAAAGTAAAGTAAGTTACATGGCGTTCTTCAATGACACGCAGGTCATACAAAAAATAAAGACAACTCCTATGGCTCCTGCCGGTTGTCATACTCATCGACATGCAAGTCGTGAATCCTATTACAAGAACATGATCAATCTCATACATCACATATATCATTCATCACATCCTTTTGGCCATATCACATCACATAGCATACCCTGCAAAAACAAGTTAGACGTCCTCTAATTGTTGTTGCATGTTTTACGTGGCTGCTATGGGTTTCTAGCAAGAACGTTTCTTACCTACGCAAAACCACAACGTGATATGCCAATTGCTATTTACCCTTCATAAGGACCCTTTTCATCGAATCCGTTCCGACTAAAGTGGGAGAGACTGGCACCCGCTAGCCACCTTATGCACCAAGTGCATGTCAATCGGTGGAACCTGTCTCACGTAAGAGTACGTGTAAGGTCGGTCCGGGCCGCTTCATCCCACAATACCGTCGAAACAAGATTGGACTAGTAACGGTAAGCATATTGAACAACATCAACGCCCACAACTACTTTGTGTTCTACTCGTGCAAAGAATCTACGCAATAGACCTAGCTCATGATGCCACTGTTGGGGAACATAGCAGAAATTCAAAATTTTCCTACGTGTCACCAAGATCTATCTATGGAGAAACTAGCAACGAGGGAAAGGAGAGTGCATCTACATACCCTTGTAGATCGCTAAGCGGAAGCGTTCAAGTGAACGGGGTTGATGGAGTCGTACTCGTCGTGATTCAAATCACCGATGACCAAGTGCCGAACGGACGGCACCTCCGCGTTCAACACACGTACAGCCCGGTGACGTCTCCCACGCCTTGATCCAGCAAGGAGAGAGGGAGAGGTTGAGGAAGACTCCATCCAGCAGCAGCACAACGGCGTGGTGGTGGTGGAGGAGCGTGGCAATCCCGCAAGGCTTCGCCAAGCACCATGGGAGAGGAGGAGGAGGGAGAGGGGCAGGGCTGCACCAACGAGAGATCAAATCGCGTGTTTTGGGCAGCCCCATGCCTCAATATATATAGGGGGGAAGGGGGCTGCACCCCCTTTAGGGTTTTCCCACCCCCTAGGGGCGGCGGCCAGCCCTAGATGGGTTTTGGGGTGCGGCCAAGAGGGGGGGAGGAGTCCATCCTCCCCAAGGCACCTCGGAGGTGCCTTCCCCCTTGAGGACTCTTCCCTCTAGGGTTCCCTAGGCGCATGGGCCTCTTGGGGCTGGTGCCCTTGGCCCATGTAGGCCAAGGCGCACCCCCTACAGCCCATGTGGCCCCCCGGGGCAGGTGGCCCCACCTGGTGGGCCCCCGGGACCCTTCCGGTGGTCCCGTTACAATACCGATGACCCCGAAACTTGTCTCGATGGCCGAAACAGGACTTCCTATATATAAATCTTTACCTCCGGACCATTCCGGAACTCATCGTGACGTCCGGGATCTCATCCGGGACTCCGAACAACATTCAGTAACCACATACAAGCTTCCTTTATAACCCTAGCGTCATCGAACCTTAAGTGTGTAGACCCTACGGGTTCGGGAGACATGTAGTCATGACCGAGACGTTCTCCGGTCAATAACCAACAGCGGGATCTGGATACCCATGTTGGCTCCCACATGTTCCATGATGATCTCATCGGATGAACCACGATGTCAAGGACTCAATCGATCCCGTATACAATTCCCTTTGTCTAGCGGTATTTTACTTGCCCGAGATTCGATCGTCGGTATACCGATACCTTGTTCAGTCTCGTTACCGGCAAGTCACTTTACTCGTTCCGTAACACATCATCCCGTGATCAACTCCTTGGTCACATTGCGCATATGATGATGTCCTACCGAGTGGGCCCAGAGATACCTCTTCGTTTACACGGAGTGACAAATCCCAGTCTCGATCCGCATAAAACAATAGATACTTTTGGAGATACCTGTAGTGCACCTTTATAGTCACCCAGTTACGTTGTGACGTTTGATACACCCAAAGCACTCCTACGGTATCCAGGAGTTACACGATCTCATGGTCAAAGGAAGAGATACTTGACATTGGCAAAGCTCTAGCAAATGAACTACACGATCTTTTGTGCTAGTCTTAGGATTGGGTCTTGTCCATCACATCATTCTCCTAATGATGTGATCCCGTTATCAACGACATCCAATGTCCATAGCCAGGAAACCATGACTATATGTTGATCACAACGAGCTAGTCAACTAGAGGCTCACTAGGGACATATTGTGGTCTATGTATTCACACATGTATTACGATTTCCGGATAATACAGTTATAGCATGAATAAAAGACAATTATCATGAACAAGGAAATATAATAATAATACTTTTATTATTGCCTCTAGGGCATATTTCCAACACTCAGAGCCATACTATGTATTTTACTCTGAAATTCCGGAACCCAGAATCGATCAAGGCGACTGACAAAGGATTAAATGTCAAGCTTATTGTCAGGCATTCCTGAGAAAGTGTCTCCAGGACACTCAATCGGGCTGAAGACAACTTCAACCCTTCTTCACCGACCCTCGATCCATTCGGGGGCTAATGACGGTGACATGTACCTAGGGTAGGGTCTTAGGCCTGACCTACATGCCCTTCCCACGGACATCCCACAAGAGGCCAAGGCCTACAAAGTTAAACAGAAGATACCCACTGAAATCCCCTTGAAGTGCAATCCACTCGACAGACATTTTCACTCGGATACCCCAATTCCACTCGACCATCATTATCTCACTCGAAAGACAAGAATCCACTCGGAGTACAGAATACGTAGAGTCACCCCAGGATGGCAACGGCCAGGCATTCACTCCGTCGTCATAACAACAAGCCCCTTGGTAATTTAAAACAGGCCATGGAATACACTAGAATAGTTTGGACAACAGACTTCATTAAAACATCTTTGCCTTTTGCTGACAAGAGTTTTTTCATCCGACCTTTTACCCTGCTCCATATTATGTCTTTTAGATACTTGAACGTGCCATTTTTTCATCCAAGATACTTTTCACTTCAAGATTCATTTTGCAGATTTAGCACCAATTTTACCTCCTCTCTAACGGATTAAGGACACCCTTTACTAAAGAATCTAGATGATTTTTCCAATTGATTCTCTGACATAATGCCTTACAATAAACACTCAAAAGGTGTGAAAATCCCCTCCCTCCTCCCACTCACTTTAATAAACAACATGTTGTCATCTGCAAAAAAAAGTAAGTGGATTACCGCCGGAGCGTTTGAGCCACTTTAATTCAGAAAGGTACGATGACTACCACTAGCTTTCAATAGGCGCGAGAGGCCCTCTGCTACTAACAAGAAAGATAAGTTGAAAGATCTCCCTAATGGATTACTCGTGAAGCCTTAAAATTGTCCAACTTTGTTCCATTAAAAATCACAGAAAAAAGAAATCGAGCTTATCATACCCATAACGATGGAGATCCACTGAGGATTAAAACCCAACTTTTCCATGATTGCCTGAAGATAACTTCACCCAACTCGGTCATAGGCTTTGCCATATCTAACTTCAACTTATCCGTTATTAAGTGTCTAGAAACAAAAGTTGATTGCTCCTTTGAAATAATGTCTGAGAGAATTACCACTACCTTTAAAGCGGTCTTATAGAGTACATTGCACAGGCTGAGAGGATGGAATTGAAATAAAGTTGAAGGGTTTAGTACTTTAGGAATGAGAACCAGGATTGGTCATTTATTGATTTGGCACTTTCAGCTCCTTCAACGATACATAGAACATCATTTGTTACTTTATGTAAGTATTAGATGAACAGGGGATGCGATTTGAGCATTGCCCTTAAAGATGCTCTAGGGGCGAACCAATCTGTATTTGGATGGTTAGGAGGATAGTGGTATCTCTAGCCCACCAGGGTTAAAGTCCTGGTGCTTGCGAATATCCTGGATTTATTTCACAATTTTCAGCGATGTGTGTTTTGTGGGAGGAGACATTTTCATCCACTACGAGACGTCTACGATTACTTTATACAATCTCAAAATGATATGCCGACTCAGTCTCTTAAAGATGCTCATAGAGATAAAGTATGCATAGGGATGAATGTATGCACGTATATATGAGTGTTGCGTTGCGTTAAAAATGGAATTGGATTTCTGTTGTTAAAAGTGTGAAAACCAAATGCGACACCAACTTCTTGCAACGACGGTTCCCCTATCGCATCGTTTTCGGCTTCAAGTTGTATGCCACCGCGGGCACGAGTCGTCAACCGCCGCCCCCATTTGCCGGGCCACCGAAAGACGTCACGGGAGACCGCACCGGCACGGCACAACCCGACGCGGACAGGAACCTCACGAGATGCGTTGGCCGCGCCTCGCCGCCTGTAGGCACGCTGGACGCCAGGCACGACGCCATCCTCTTCAGAGCTGCGCCATCTCGGTGGCCGTCGAACACGAAGGCGGACGTGACCGGCGCGTCGCTTGCTACAGCCCCGCATCGTTCGCCGGCCCGTATCAGCTCCACCGGCAGGTCGAAGCACGGCGACGGGCAGTATCCATGGACGGCGCCACGGTCGTCCCTTCCCCCAGGCTCCACCAGGAAGTCGAAGACGATGTTGCTGCCGGAGTAGAGCGAGGAGCACTCGAGCTTCTCCAGGGACGCCGCACGGGTTAGCAGCACCTGCGGCGGTTCCTGCTCCGTGCGCTGGTCTTGTTCCGGCGCCGCTGGCTGCTGGCTCTTGCCGGAGTTGCCGGTTTCCTCGGGCTTCTTCTTGGAGAGTCCTGGGAGGCAGAGGCACGTGAACAGCGTGCCGCAGGTGAAGCCGTCGCGCTCGTCGGGCTCGGCGTTCGGCGCTTGGGACATAGCGCTCGCCGGCCGGTGCACACAAATTCGAACGCCTTGGAGGGAACGGGGAGGACGTACGTCTAGCTAGCGCAGTACCGGTATATAGTGAGGTGGCCGGGTAAGGTCGCGGTGGCGGGTGGTGGCGGAGTGGAGGGGCACACCGCCGGTCAGCCCGCTAGATCGTGTGTTTCATGATTTCCTGGCTTAACTTAGTCGTCGGGACCCACTTACATACTCGTTCTGCGTAGATCTAGCCGTATGGCGCTTGGTTCGTTGACTCGACTTCCTTCCTATGTTGTGCATGCTCTGCATGATCGAGATAACATGATACAACTCCTCAAAATTCAAATTTTCAAGTTTTTTTAAAAAATGAAAAACAAAACTCTGAATGTTCACAACATATGAGTCTACAATCTCTAAAATTTTCAATCGCAAATTCGAAATGCACACAGAGAAACAAAGAAGACAAATTCAATTGTGAATAGTGCTATTTGTCTTTTTGTGACACTGTTCATGCTAGGTTTGATCCTTTTGTTTCTCATTGTATATTTCGAATTTGGGTCTGAAAATTTAAGGGAGTGTGTAAACATATCTTGTTGAACGTTCACAACTTTTATCGAATTTTGCGGAGACTTGCAAATTTGAAGTTTGAGGAGTGGTACCATGTTGTCATGTGAAGTGTGGTGTCATATGATATTTCCACCTCGTACTGTACTGGTTTCAGTGGAACCTAGGGAGTAAATCCGTATTGCCAATACATTCCAATTCACCAAACTGACCAGATCAGTTCAAGTTACTTGAAAGCGCACATATTACCTAAGAATTTTTGAAGGTAGTACAGAGTACAGAGTACACAACCGTTTGGTGATCTTCTCAGTTCTTCTCTACAATTAGTTTAGCTCTTGCATGCCCAGCCTCTATCCTGTATTGCTCGCCCATCCCCAGGTGCGTCATCAAGAACCAGACGACGGTGAGCAGCTCGCCGCCATTGCTCAGCTGCTTGGCGTGGAAATTACTCCGGCACTTGCTCGCGGCGTAGCAGAGCATCTCCACCCACACCACGCGAATGAGCCGCCACCTCTTGCCGGGCGGCAGCTCCAGCAGCGACTTGGCCAGCCGGCACGCGTCGAACAGCACGGACTTGCTCCTGTCCCCCTTGACGTCCCTCGGCGCAATCTCCGCGTTCACCTCCAGCACCATCCTTGCCGCGGCACGCTCATCCGGCCGTGCCGCCTCCCGCCCGAGGAAGTTCTTGGCCTCCGCACATGTGTCGCCGAACCGGATCTGCCCGATGCCCGCAGTCAGCATGAACGGCCGCGCCACGAGCAGGAAAAGCATGTAGTTTGACACCGCCCTGCTGATGCTGACATACTCGGTGAGCTTCGCATCGTCGTTGCTGTCGTCCGAGTAGAAGCAGAGGTCCGTGGCGATGTGCCATAGGAGAATGCTCTCGTCGAACTCCGCCTCGACGCTCCAGCCGAGCTCCTTGTAGTAGCCCTTGCACTGGAGCGCCCACTGGCCCCTGTGGTTGCTGAACTTGCGGTAACTCTCGGTGTCAACGATGCTGAGCGCCTTATCTTTCAGCTCCCTGAACACCGAGATCTTCAGCTCGGACGACACGTCTATGTGCCAGATGTACAGCCAACTGTCCCAGTGCCCTTTGAGCCCGAGCAGCCCCAGGATCTTGGTGACCAACGTTGGTTTGTCCTGGAGGCAAAAGCTGATGAGGTTGTGCTGCGCCATCAAATTGGACCACTTCGCCCGGCTTTCTGGCCGGAAATACTTTATGCACCGGAGGATCAGATGGCTCAGCCAATGGCAGATGGAACCTTGCAGGGCTGCGTAGGTCCAGTATGACACAAGCATCATACCAATGGCAGAAAGCTCTAAGCAAAGTGCTCCTCCGAATAACGAGTATTTAACCAAAAACTACCACAATTGACGGAAACGTGACGAAAAACTACCACTTTACGTTTTTGTGCGAAAAACTACCAATTTGGACTAAACCGTGGCAAAAAACTACCAACTCGTGAAATCGCTCGCTTCGCCCGCGCTAACCCCGAATCTGACCGGTTGGGCCCGCGAATCAGGCGCCACGTTGGCTAACGGTCGCCCGCCGCGCGTAGATGGCCGTTAACGGCCCGTCCGCTGTCGGAACGGCGCCTGTCGGTGCGGTGCGGGTCAAATCTGATTCGTTCCCCTCTCGATTCACTCTCTCCCTCCTCTCCCTCTCTCTGACCTAGGTGGCGGCCGCCATGTCCTCGTTGATTCCGGAGGGCGGCGGCGCTGGCGGCGGCGACGTTGGCGGCGGCGACGCTGGCGGCGAGACAAGTTTGGACGCTGCTGCCTCGCCCGCGGCTCCACCGATGGCCAGCGGCTCAGTCGATAATTGGTTGGGGAGCACCAGTTTCTCGATGCAGGCCGGCTCGCAGCAGCCGGAGGCACCGCTCTCCCAGTCATCGCCAATGGGTCGCAGGTATGCAAGTATCATCTGCTGGGCTTTTGGTTAGCTGCTTCAACATTGCAAATTAGTAAGATGTGTTCGTTTCTGTTAGTTGGACATGTGTAGTAAACTGGAGTCAGTAAACTGTATAGCTCAGTCAATTTCAATTCAATTCATGAGCACTTATTTGTGCAGTTTGGCTGACCAGAAGTGGGATATATGGTTTCATTTAGAAGGAAGAAACCCTGTGAAAAGGGGTATATTTGAGTCAGATATTTCTTTGCTTACTCTACAATCACTCATTGCTAGTGAAGGGTATGGGGACAGTGATTACATGTACTATGTGAAGGAGGAGGAAATTGGATCTGACAGAGTAAAGTATTTAGGTAATGAAGCTAGTGTTCATGAAATGTTGGACTTTTTTCATCATGTCAAGCTAGTCAACATAAGGGTTGTGAGAAATGTTAAACCTGGAATTAGTACACAGGCTAATGAGAATTACATGAACACTCAAGAGAGCTGCTGTGTGAAAAAGGTTGTGGAGCAATCTGAGCTTCAGAATCAGATAGATGATAGAAAGGCTCAGCTTGAGAGGAGCAGGATTCAAAGAGAGGCAGATTTGAACCACTTTGAAGGAGACACTGAAGTATCTGAATTTTGTTCTGAGGATTCAGTTCATTCAGATGGGAGTGCTGAAGCTGTTCAACCAATGGAAATAGTGTGTGTCTCTGAAGAGGATACAACATTGCAAACTACTGCTATTGTGAAACATGTGAAGAATCCTGGTCCAACTAGCAGATGTCACAAAGAGGTAGAGAAAAAACGTTTTGAAGATTGGTTTCCTGAAGCAGATGAGTTTTGTTTTGCTGGTGATGCAGGCATAAGTGATGAGGAAGAAGTAGATGATGTTGAACTACCATACCTCATGAAGAAGCCAAACACAAAGAGTAGTAAGAAAAAGATGAAGGAAAGGCTATATTTTGACCCCTCAATTCCCAATTCACATTTACTCTTGTGCAAGAACTTGTGTTTTGATAGTGTTTACCAGTTCAGAGAAGCATTAAGAGATTTTCATATAAGGACTTTGAGGTCTTTTCACTACCACAGGAACACTCCAACAAGAATTATTGTTTGGTGTTCACAAAGAGAGCATGGATGTGAATTTTACATGTGTGCCTCTAGGATAGCTCATGAAAGAACATTTTGCATTAAGAAGTGTAACATGGAGCACACTTGTCCAGCATCAGCAGAGAACACAAAGGTTACTATTAAGTGGCTTTCCAAAGAAGTTGAGCCATCTCTTAGAGCAGATCCTAGAGCACCTGTGGATTCACTTATTAAAAACAGCAAAGTCAAGTTTTCAGTTGATGTATCAAAGAGTGTGGCCTATAGGGCAAGGAGGAAGGCTATGAAGGTTGTACAAGGTGACCAGAAGGAGCAGTACTATAGACTGAGGGACTACCTACAAGCAGTTCTTGACACAAACCCTGGTAGCAGGTGTGTAGTTACAACATTTGAGGACCCAGAAAACCCTGCCTCAACACCTAGATTTAAGTACATGTTCTACTGCTTGCATGCATCAAAGCAAGGATTTCTTAATGGTTGCAGGCCCTTTATAGGTAAATCTATAACTGCAATTTGTTTAAAATATCTTGTTGTAAATATATGGTAGCTAATTTGGGTATGGATGCAGGGCTTGATGGTTGCTTCATCAAGCTAACCACTGGACAACAAATACTTGCAGCCACAGGAAGAGATGGCAATAACAACATCTACCCCATAGCCTTTGGTGTGGTTGATAAGGAAGATTCAGATAGTTGGACATGGTTCCTAACCCAGCTAAGATGTTGCATTGGAAGTGGTAGCAAATTTGGAACCTACACCATTATTTCTGACAGGCAAAAGGTATGCACCCTATCTTAGCCACTAGTTCAGATATATATTGTTATTAGTAGCTTTATTTCCTTTTGTTCATGACCATGGTTATAAATTTACAATCAGGGTCTTCTTAAGGCTATAAATGAGGTGTTCCCTGATTCCCCTCAGAGATACTGCCTCAGGCACATATATGCAAATTTTCAGTCAGCTGGTTTCAGAGGAGCAGAACTAAAGAAGCTAGTAGATCAGGCTAGCTACTCATTCACCAAACATGGCCATGAATTGGCAATGGCAGAGCTTAAAGCAGAGTGTGAGGATGCCTGGAAGTGGCTTAAAAAAATTCCAAAGGAGACTTGGTGTAGGTCTGCAATGGATTACAATTGCAAAACTGATCTTGTTGTGAACAACCTTAGTGAGGTTTTCAACAAAATGATCCTTGATGTTAGGGCCAAACCAATTAGGACTATGTTTGAAGGAATTAGGACTAAGCAGATGATCAAAAGGCAGAAGACTAGGGAAAAAACAGAGAACAGCAGGTGGATGATCACACCCAACAATTCAGAGAAATTAGAGGAGAATAAGAAGTATGCCAAATTTTGTGATGCATATAAGGCAGGTCCTGACATTTGGCAAGTTAATAGTAAGGAAAATCAGTACTGTGTGAACCTAGCTACTCAATCATGTGACTGCAGGAGGTGGGACATGACAGGTGTGACATGCAGTCATGCAATAGCAGCAATGAGCAAGATTCACATGCACCCAGAGGACTATGTGCATGAATTTTTCAAAAAAGCACTATATATTGAAGCATACAAAGACATAGTGTACCCTGTCCCTGGTCCTGAATTCTGGCCTGACACCCATACTCCTGATATTGAGCCCCCAGTGTTCAAAGAAAAAGCAGGCAAAAAACAGACAGCTAGGAGAAAGGGGCAGTTTGAGGTGCCTGCTCCAAAGGACACAAGCAGGATGGGAACAATTACATGCAGCAATTGTGGTCTACAAGGCCACAGATATACTAATTGTGGGAAAGCTCTAAAACCTAGTCTTGAGATGAGAAAGAACTTACACCAGGTCATTCAAAAATGATGCATTCTTTGTTTACTTTTTTTAGTTCTGGTATATTTACTAACTGATTTAATTTTGTCATGCAGGAGAATAGAGAAATTTTTAGTTCTAGTGCTACACATCCACCTCCACAACCACCACCTCAACACCAAACTACACAGATGCCAGCATCATCAGCTCCACCTCCTAAAGCAAATAAGAGAGGTTCAACATCAACAGTTTCAACAGGAGCAGCCAGGTCTTCACCAGCACCTGCAACAGGATCTGCATCAACAAGAGCTGCAAGAACAAGAGGATCAGCATCTACAAGAACATTCAATGCACCAAGAACATCCACTGGAGAACCAGGGATATTGGCAGGCAAGAGGAAGAGGAAACCTCCTAGCAAGTTTGCATCCTATTTCAATGCTAGTGGAAACTATTGAGTGTATGCTACTTATTTGTGTTCTGCTACTAAGTTTGTGTTCTGCTACTAAATGTGTGTTGTGCTACTAATTTCTGGACAATGTGACATGTGAACTTATTTGTGCCCAATACAAATGGGCTAAGTGCTACTGAGTTGTTTTGATTTGTTTTTTTGTTTTACTTTGCCATTTCTACAGTACAGAACTTATTGCCAAATTCATTGTACGAAAAAAAATCTGCACAAAAAAAGTCTGGCCTGGGGCTCGAACCCAGGACCAGTTGGTTGTAACTATGCGTTCAATACCAATGGGCTAGTGCTGGTGATTTGTTTGACTAGTATCGGCCAAACTTATTATATGTTGTTAGCCACGTCCTCTTTTCAGCGTGCGTAGCAGCCGGCAGCGTGGTGAGCGTGCGTTGATTAAAACCAGTCGTTTCGGATTCTACTACTTTATTACGTGTCCACCCACCACGCCCTCTCCTCACTCGCCCACTCGTCGGTCGCACCGCCCACTCCACTTCCCCCTCTCTCCTGTCGAAATCACCGCCGACAACCACCGCCACCGCCGTCGCCATGGAATGGCAGCTCGCCATCGAAGCTCTCGGCGGCAACAACAAGGAGATCCGGGCGCAGTACAGGGAGATCGCGCGCTGGTTCCCCAGTATGGCGATGCTCAGGAACCACGCCCGCGGCCTCGTGAAGGTGATGACGGCTGATGAAAAGCAGCGCGCCTTCCACTCTGCCGGCCGCACCATCCCGGCGCCGACCATTCTGCTCTGGGCGATGCGTGAGGTGCAGCGCTCCCCCGACCCCAGGCAGCGCGCCAGATGGTGGATGTACCGCTCATCCACCACGCCACCGGCCGCCGCGGACGACGTCACCGAAGCCGTCCTCGCTGTCCCAGCCCCAATCAACAACGCCCTCTGGCGCAATCCATGGGTCCTTGGGCCCTCTGACGACTCTGAGGGCGAGTCTTCTGACGACGAGTCCACTGACGACGAGTCCAGTGACGAGCCCTCTGACGACTCTGACGACGAGGTGGATGAGGTAGTCGTCCTCTCCGACGACGAGCCTGAACTGCAGATGCTGGCTCCCATCCTCGACGTCGTGGAGGGGGATAGGAACCGCCCAATCCACGTGGATGCGCTGCCAGAGGTGGACGATCTCCCAGACGGCGTCGTCGTGAAGCAAGAACAAGATGGCGGTGAGGATGATGTGCTGGAGCCGGCGCCGGGCAAGAAGAAGAGGGCGGCCGTGACTGCGGTGCGCCACTCGCACCGCCTGAAGATGCTGAAGAAGGAGGAGTGAACTGCTGCACTAATATTCAGTTTCGTCAGTCCTGAACTTTCTTAAGTGCAGTAAGTTCCTAGGTTCAGTTTCGTCAGGCACTATCTACTAGTAGTTCATCTTTATGTCAGGCACTATCTAATAGTAGTTGCTATCTATGTTAGACTATGAATGGCAGTACTATCTATCTATGTCAGACTATCTATGTTAAGTTATTTGTCAGACTATCTAAGCTAATTGCTATATATGTTACTTGCTACTTCCAACTATGTCAGTACTGTCAGTTATCACACATGATATAAGCAGAGTAAAACAACCTCATCATAGATAAAACATTCTTACTTACTTAACTTAGCATGAGTACTTAGCATAGTAGGTCTTAACATAATAGTCATTACATCATAGATAAAACCAAGTAGTTCTTAAACCATAGCAATACCTCCCTCCCTCATACCATTCTGAAAGCACATGAAACTTTCCCAAAATATACACCTAACATGCATGACATTCCAAGGCCAGCTATATATATAGGCCTACTAATTACTTAACCCACAAACCAACCACTTCACTCATTCATAATTGCCTTGATCCTCTCCAGCTTAGCTTTGCTGTCATGCCCAGCATTGAGCAGATCAGCAATAAGATACTCTAACTTCTTCTTCTCTTGCTTAAGTAGGTCCCTATCCCCCTCCACTTCCTTCATGGCCTTCCTCATGTTCTGAATGATCTCTGCTTGGCTTTGAAGAATGCACCTTTGCTCCTTGGCAAGCTTCAGCTTTTCCATACTTAACTCAATCTTTGCCTGATCCTCAAGTTGTTTCTTCTTCTCAGCTAGTTCATTGATTGCCTGACTGGTATAGTCCATGTCATGAGACATCTTGCCATCTTGATAGTCAAATAGGTTGGATACATCTTCCACCAACTGGCTGTAGTTGTTTGACAGGAAATCAATTTCCTTCTGTAGCTTGGCCACCTCTTTCTCATGGGCTTGTTTGTCATTCACCCTGCCCAAGTTCTGCTCATGATACATGTCCCAAATCCTGGTTAAGCACCTTTGTAGAATCTCTGGCCAAGGACCATCCACCCACTCCACAACCCCACAGTTCACACCTTCATCCTACAGAAGCAATTATTTATAATTAAGCACAAAGCACTTAGTAACAAACTTAGTACAGAAACCAAAAGTCATAAAGTCATTTCATTTAGCTGAAACCCTTTGTTTACATCAATATGCACCTGACTTAGCATCAGAGATAAATTCAGTTAACAGCTACATTTAGCAACAGAGATAAATTCAGTTAACAACTACATTTAGCAGTAGATATAAATTCATTTAACTCTGTTCTTTTTCAGTTAACACCTACTCTGTTCTTTTTCAGTTAACAACTATATTCTCAGGTTCATAATACACTAAAGATATCTGCTTGTAGGTGTTATCAGGTTCAGTCATGTATTGAATTCAGTTAACTAAAGATCTACTTTCATATATAGCTTCCACATGCTGCAGCACACATCTCTGCACCACATGCTGCACCACACATCTCACATCTCCAGCAGCAAAACACATCACACATCTCCACCAGCAAAACAAGTTAGCGTTCAAGATTTAATACCTGCTGCATAGGACAACCCAGGAAACGCCTGCCAGTCAAAGAACCTTCAAAAGCCACCATCTTCTTCGGCCTCTGATGATGCATCATGCACGTCGGCTCAGATTCAGTGTAAGAACCACAGAAAGATGGTTCCACCACAGTGTCAGGGGTTTCCTGCAAAAGAAACTTCGAATCAAACCAAAAGCAAATTGGAATCTCCAATTTGGATGAACTAACCCTAACCCTAACTCTGTTCCACCATTATGCACTTACAAATAGCTGCTGATCCAATGAAACCATGTTGATGTCCTCGTCCGAGCTGTCCTCGTCATACCAGGATGGCATCCTCACCTTTGACCGGCAGCAATGGCCGCGGCGGCGACGGCGATAGGCTGACCTAGGTCAGAGGACCAGGGAGAGGGAGAGGGAGAGGATGGAGTGAGGACGAGTGAGAGCGAGCGAGGAGGAGAATGAGCGGCTGAGCTCGCTCTCACTTATTGGCCAACCGACAGGCGCCGTTCCGACAGCGGACGGGCCGTTAACGGCCGTCAACGCGCGCCGGCCGTCCGTCCGCCAGCGTGGCGACTGATTCGCGGGCCCAACCGGTCAGAAACGGGGTTAGCGCGGGCGAAGCGAGCGATTTCCCGAGTTGGTAGTTTTTTGCCACGGTTTAGTCCAAATTTGGTAGTTTTTCGCACAAAAACGTAGAGTGGTAGTTTCCTGTCACGTTTCCGGCAAATGTGGTAGTTTTTGGTTAAATACTCCCGAATAACAGATTGGTGATGAGGACATCGATGCCGTCATACGACCCGCGTCGACCTTTGTGTAGCACATTGAAGAGGACGCACGCTGTCATCGTGGAGACAAGTGTGACACAGCGGAACAGGCGGCCATACCAGGTGTGTATCACTGCCGCCTTGGAATGCCGGGTGTCATACATGAGGGACAGCTCGATCTCGATGATCTTGTATGCCTGCTCCGGCATCAGCCGCAGAAACGTGGCCTGGCTCATGGTACGGTCTTGGAAACTGAGGATGAGGTTCACAAACAGGCGCTTGAAGGTCACGAAGAAGCACCGCGCCTCGGTGATGACCGTGGCATAAGGCACGGTCTCCTCTGTGATTGCCGGGGCGGTGACCCCAGCACGTCGCTCTGGCTCGATGATGATCTCCGCCTGGAGCCCCGCCTCACGTGTGAAGCGATACTCCTCCATGAACTTGGCGTAGTTGGGGCCCGGGTCCGGCGTCGTGACCATGCCGCTCCGCAGGTTGTCCATGCTCGCGCACTTGAGCGCCCATGTCCTCTCACCGTACTTAAGAATGCCGCTCAGGAACATGAACACGGCCGGGTATAGGATATCAGCACCAGGGCGCGACTTGGAGAAGACGTAGACAGCAAGGGCAACCTGTTATAACGAGTAGAACACAAGACAAGGCAAAGCTTGGTTATTTCAAGTTTGTGAAGTGAGCAGTACTACTCTGCCTGAAGTGCAAAAGATTCGAGAAATTAACCATACCTGCGACAACAGGCTAAGCAGGTGACGCTTCCAGAGCTCGTTGTCTTCAATGAGAAGGCAGTGATGGTGTCCTGGCCACCGAGGTGAAGGAGCAGGAACGGCGCCCAGAAGACCTGGATGCGGTGGTTGCGATTGAGGAACGACTGTGCATCGTCGCCGGCGCCTCTGTGCACGCGCGTATGGGAGAGGTACCCGAGCGCGTAGATGGCAATGGAGTCCGCGAGCAGGTAGGCGAGCCAGAGCAGCACGCTGAGCAAGGCGGAGACGTTGCGCTTCCGGATGCCGGCAGAGAAGAGGAGGAACACCTGCAGCGCGAGGCTGGTGAGCACAAGCACGCGGATTTCCCACTCGTTCCACACAGTGAGTAGGCTTCCCATGGAGTGTGTGTTCATGCCGCTCCCCTCCATCTCTGCCTTCCACTCCGGCGGCTGGCACTTCTCCAGGATCAACATATCCTAATGCTCGTGGGGAGACTTGGCTCCTGGTCTTCCATGGGGTCAACCTCACGCGTCATTGGTTTTCTTAATGATTTCAATGGGACATGTACGCGTCTTGGAACAAGAAACAAGAGCCAAAGTTGGCACTAAAAGTTAAGGGCCGTCACTGTCTTGGTCTCTGCGCCTCATGGTTCAGTTAGCTCCCCCCCCTCTTTATCCCTTTATTATCCTGTGAATCCATCAATCAACTACTGAAAAATCCTCCATCAAACTACCTTCTTACGAGCAATTTCTGACCGGAAAAGCCGAAGGGGTCAATGGCCGTGGTGGTGCAGTTTCTGGTTAGAAAGTTCGTTGATAGCCTGGCGGAGGAGGGAGCCGCGGAGCTCCCTTTCAGCTCCCACTTCTACGACATGAGGGCCGGGTTGGAGAAGGCAGCCATTTCTTCCACCAACGCCGATGAGCTCCGAGAGTGCATGTACGAGCTCAATAACCTGCTCTCGCAGTGCCGCATGCTCAACAACCGGCCAATCCCGCGGAGCTGCTTCTTCTCCCCCTCTGAAGCATGGCTTTCCAACAAGGTCAAGCAGCGGGTGATCGCCATGAAGCGCAGAGTCCTGCAATGTGTCCATAACGATGACCCCAACGGCGATGCAGCAGCCTTGCCGGAGGAGAATGCCACCACTGCTGGGTTCAGTCGGTGGAGTACTTCTTGGGTTGAGCAGAGCAGGATCTACGGGTTCGACCAACAGCTCGCGGAGCTAGAGTCCAGGGCGTTCAGGGACAGAAGCCCCGGACGACTTACAGGCGTCGGCATCGTCGGCATGGGCGGCATCGGGAAGACTGCACTCGCGCAGCTCGTGTTCAACAGCCCGCTGGCCAGGCGCCGCTTCTTCCCCAGGATCTGGGTGTGCCTGTCGCGCACCTCTTGCATTGGCAAGGATGTGCGCAAGGAAGTCTTGCAGAGCATACTTATGGCCCTCGGACTCGAAGAGGAGTTAATATTGGCCATTGATAGCCTGGGAGACATGGAGTTAGCTGTCCATGAGCAGCTCAAGGGGAAGCGGTACCTCATAGTATTCGACGATGTCTGGAACGTCGACGACTGGTACGCCGACATTGCAGGCCATGAAAATGCCTTGTCGAGGGGCGAACAATTGCAAAATGGCCTTGTGCTCGCGTTGCCCAAAGAGAGAGGTGGAATTGTGATCGTTACCAGCCGTCAAGAGCAGGCAGCAGAGATGATGGTGGGGAAGGGTAGTGTGTACCGTGTGAAGCCCCTGGCCGACAGAGAGAGCGCCTGGGCGATCTTTATGGATGCTCTGAACAAGGAAAGACAGCCGATCGATCTCGCAGCTATTAACAACCTGAAAGAGGAAATTCTTCAGACCTGTGGTGGGCTACCGTCAATGGCCAAGGCGATGGCAGACATCTTCGCAAAAAGTCTAACGTTACCAGCATCAACTTCTAGCCAGGAACTTAAGCTTGAGTAGTGGAAATGTAAAGTAGAGTAAGCAATATGCCTATCATAGACCAAAAAGACACCACATAGCAATTGTATATGAATTTTATGGATTTGCCACATGAAAGTTATGGCACAAATTCTTATGAATGGCTGTGAGAAGAAGATGGCATGTATCCATTTCTCCCTGCATAATAAGTTTGAACCCCGCATAGAATTGAATGTGCAGTGCTTCCGGTTTCCTCATAAACAAAAAGTGGACGTGTCAAACCTTTATGGCTTTCACAAATATATTGTGACAAAAATTCAAGACAAACATACATTTTGTAGAATGTTAAAAAGGCTAGTAAATTTTCACTTGAAGGCCGTAACAAACTTCTGCATGACGCTTTGAAATAGCATGTGTGAGGGAGACTGACCATAACTTGCACAACTTCGGTAGAGACTCTAATCAAACTTGCTTTCCATTAATGTATCACTCTCTCCTGACAATGCGCTCACATGAAAAAGCCTGAAAAGGATAATGACTCGGGAAATCAGTGAAAATGGATGAATTACTATTTGTGTTCCTACATCACAAGTTCATAACCATAGGCCACAGATTTGTTTGATGAAGCTCAAATTTATCAACATTGTGTAGCTGATAAGCTGTACAACATATGCAATCAAATAATTAAGACAACAAATGGATAACCTGGCTTCGTGCATCTCCATTTTCCCCTCTTTTTTTCCTTTGTATTTTTGTTTCAACATTGATGGCGGAAATTGACTTATTACATATGTAAATAATAATGAGAACTCACTTGATTTGGTGCTTTGTTCTACTCTCTGGTTTCCTGGGTGTCACAGTTCATCCACACTCCATCCTTGTCACAAGGGAAAGATTCTATGTTGCTGCATCTGAATACCTCCAGGAAGGTCAGGTTCGGAAACATCTCATTCACCTGGGTCCATTCTAGTACCAAGTCATTCAAGAACTTCAAACGCATTATCTCAATGTTCCACTGCTCGGACATGCTCTTCTCTCCAAAAGTGCGCAGCATTCCTCCTGTGAAGTAGAGCCTCCGTAGTCTCAACAGCCTACTCGGACTCAACCAAACAGGTATGTTCTCACCAGGGAAGCAACGCAAGTCTAGCTTCTCGAGATGGGGAGGAAGGGATAACGAATTTAACAATGCTGTTGCTGTTGAATCTTGTTCATCCGCTCCTTTCTTTGACAGCAACACAGCCCATGTAATTGTCAGCACACGAAGGGCTTTGATGTTCTCAACTTCATGCAGTTCGTCTTCTGTCACTAGAACTTTGCTTCCAATATATATGCTAAGCTTCTTCAGCTTGCCCAGCCTGACCAGCTCCGCTACCTGACAATTGTACTTGCCTGTAGATCCACCAATGACAAACCCTTTCAGCACTTGGAGTTCAGTAAGCAAACCAATGCCCCTTGGCATGCCCTCCAAAAGGTAGCATTCTGAAACGTCCAGGTGGGTCAGCATCTGAAGAGACGTGATGCTCTCAGTAAGCCTCTCAAGGTTATGACAAGCATGAAGATCCAAGATCCTGAGATTTGAGAGTGCGCCGATCGAAGCAGGAAGCTCTGTGATACGGGAGATACCCCGCAGACAAAGATATTTCAATTGTTTGCATGACTGCAACCCTTCCAAATATTCCGTGCTGTCAACCTCAATATGGTGTCGGTACAAGTTATGCCACCGACCTAGTTGGAGAACTTCGATCTTCCTCAAATCCAAGAACCAATTCTTGTCGAACTGGAGGTATTGCTCGCTCACATTGAATATTGCAAGAAGGTAATCTGGATTGGACTGATTTCTGAGTGGTGTCGTCTCTGTTACCTGAATATGTTCTCCGACTAGACAAGCACGGCGAGTACCTGAAAAGCCCCATGTTGCACTGCCATCGGAATCAAATTCAAAAAATCGTTCTTGCCTTGCAACGGTAATCAACATACGCCGAATTCAAGGATGCAACTTACATTGGTTCACAGTACAGTTACGTTTATGACGTACAGGTTCAATCATCTCTGCAGTGATTAACCTCTCAAAGCACTCCTTCCCAATATCTTCAGCTGTCTGACTTCTTGTGGCCTCTACTAGCCCTTCACCAATCCACCAATGGATCATAGCCCTCTTGCTAATAATGCAATTTTCTGGGAATATAGAGAAGCATAACAAGCACAGCTTCAGCTGAATATCAAGATTATAATAGCTGAGCTGCAAATTAGATATCATGGAGCTCTCAAGGATTTTCTTCTCAATCTCCAGTTTTTTCCATTGCTCTGAAGCATCTGCAGACAGCAATTTGGACGGTAAAGATGATGATAACAACGCAGGAGCTGCTGGCTTGATCAAAGGAACATGGAGAGGAAATTTCATGCGGTCTTTTAAGTTGGACATTTCGGTGTTCACAATCTGAAGCTTGGAATGTACAAATTGCTGCTGGCTATCTTCTTCTATGATGTCATCTAAATGCCGAGCAATTCCTCCGAAGTCATTGATAATCTCACTTTCCCATCTAGACACCCGCTTTAGTACATCCTCCATGTCACGTGCTTCTCTCTCGATATTTTCAAACAGAAGTTTGATCTCTGAAGGTAAACTATCCCCGTCCAGTGTCAACGAATGAACTCTTGCTTTCGATAACTGCATAAGAAAGGGGGACACAACTTCCTCCAACATCCTTTCCTGTGACATCCTTCTTTACTCAATGAAGTAAAACTCTGAAGAGAAACAGACATAAGAACTAACGACAGACACGCACACATATGATGTTTCAATAGTGCTTATAGTCACAAACATAACAAACTGTGTTCCCCGGCACATAATCTACGGCGTTTCTTTGAAACCAAATGACAGCTCTCCTGTCGTTTCATTAAATGAAGAAAACAGTAGCGCAAAAGGAGAAAATTATACTAACACTCTGTTCTTAAGACAAGTGCATTGTTCAGCTTGTACATCATAGCATTCTCTGCTCTGCTCTGCTGTTTTTTACTTCGGTGCTTTGGTAAGACCAAAAACACAAGGAAGTTTTCCAGGAATTAATTTGACACGGGGCGCCGCTAACTTGGTTCAGCGAGCTGATTAATCAGGTATATTCTCAGGCGAAATGAATCAAAATGCCCAAGTGTCGCTCAGATCTTCAAATTAGATGTGACTTGATTTTATCTATTTTCGGAATAAGAAAACTACTCCCTCCGTTCCTAAATATTTGTCTTTCTAGAGATTTCAACAAATGACTACATACGGAGCAAAATGAGTGAATCTACACTCTAAAATGTGTCGATATACATCCGTATGTGGTAGTCCATTTGAAATCCTAAAAAGACAAATATTTAGGAACGGAGGGAGTAGATGTGAAAGTTTACGATGTACTAACTTGCTAATTGCAATTCAGAAGAAAAACATAGTACTTGCTTACTAAAGAGCATGGATGCCATCACTGAACCGGATTCGCTAGGGCACATCTATCCAGTTCGTGAAAACATGCTAGTCCATGGAGCATAGCCAGCGTCTACTCCGTCACTAGGCAACCGTGAAGCAGAAATAAGAATAGAAATTTGAACTCTAGATGCGGAACTCTTGCTCTTTCCGCGGCAACAGGTAGGCTCGCATACAGAACAAGGTAAAGGGAAATAGAAGGGGGGAATCCAGGCCGGCGAAGAAAAGGGGAATTACCCGAAAATACAGAAGGCGGCGGCGGTAGCCAGTCGGTACCTCGTGTCTTTACAGCGCCGCCAGTCTCAGGTCCTGTATATTTTTACGAGCTCGGCGGGATGATGATCTTGCTCTGCTCTGCATCTCTATTGCTCTTAGCGGAGACAACGGGGCAAAGCTGAGATTTAGGTCACTTTGGCGTTTTTTAGTCGCTGGTTTGCTGCTTGATACACAAAAACTGCTATTTAAGATATTTGGATCCAAAAAAATATGCTCCAGCAAACAATGATGATGTGATTTTTTTTTGAGCAACTGATATTTTGCCACAAGTATTTGGGGCACTCTACCCGGTTGTTGAAAAACCAACGCATCCGCGCAGCCCAACTGTCTCGATGAAAGTTCTTACCACCCCACCTGCCTCTTTCCCACCTCCGTCGCCGGTGGGATCTCGCTGTTCCATGCCACTGCTACCGTCACGAGTTTGTCGTTCGCCCCCGGCTTAGTCGCCACTTTGTCGCCCAATCTCTATCCGTATCTCAAACCAAACCCTAGCCACTCCACTTCACCACAATCCTCTTGTACGCTCCTCTCTGGCGATCTTCGACCTTCTCTGGCATTGCGGGCAACGGATCCGACTCTGAGATCTTCGGATTCATCGATGGGACCTCGTCCAATGCGAGAACAAGGAGGATTTGGCCGTCCGGTGGGCTCTCCGCCGTCTTGGGAGGAAGTCTCAACTCCGCAATCAGAGTCGCTCTGGTGGGAATCCATTACGTCCATGCAAATGATGCTTGGATCCGATGGCGCCGGCTGCTCGAGGAGCGTGATCGCGGCGACCATCGGTTGGAGGTACCGCGGTGCAAGATCGGACATCCCGGGGCTGGCGACACAACCCCTGTGATGGCGCCTTGTCGCCACAGGGTTGGGCTCCGAGTTGATGGTCAACGCCGACATGCGACACAACCCAACCGCTACAGAGGATCGATGTACCCGACGCGCGAGGAACAGGGTGCAACAAGTTGCGGAAGCCCTAGAGGCCGAGACCGCGGAGGCGGAGTCGCATGTCGTCTTGGACATGAACGAGGAAGCCCTCCGTACCCGCATCCTCGAGAAACGGCAAAGAAGGACGACCTCCCCTGCCGCCGCCGCAAAGCAGCAAAACAAGGATGTTTTGTGCCATGGTCGGACTGCCCCAAAGAGGAGAAGTAGAAGTCTGTTGACGGATTGGATAACTCCTACTCGTACAGTGAGTATATCCAGCTCGGTCCGTTTTGGATCTTTGAACGTTACTTCCGCAACATAGACAATAAAGGCAAGGGCGGCTGATGGTGAAATTTATCCATTATCGTATCATTCGCAGCTAGTAGAAATGTTAATTTTTGGTAGTCTAATTACATGTATGAATTTCTATGCTATGTATGTGCTCAACACCGTGTTCACTTCAAGGGACACGGTTGTGAACGCGAACTTTTAAAGGATGGCCGATAGTTCAGGGACACATCTGAAGTTTTCGCGGATCGTATAGGAGCCTAGATTTGCTCAGTCCAGTTTTAGATGCTCAGGTCATCCTATTAACTTTGGACGCCGATAACGCGCGTATGTTCGGGGTTTTGGACGTCCGCGCCAAACGACTCCGTTCGGACTGGTAGTTAATGAAGCCGAACGAAACCGTTCCGATAGGATAGCTTATCCCCCGAACGACCCAGTCAGCGCGCGACCGAGTTAGCGTGCGGTCATCGCCCTCCTCCATCCCTCCCGATCCCCTCGTAGTTCCTGCCTCCTCTCCATCGCCGGCATGGCTCTCCGTAAAGTTTCCATGGCAAGATCTGGCGATCTGTAGTCTAAATTGAGCCGCCGACCAGGTGAATTCCTCCTCCATCCCCACCCGGTTCCATTTGCATTTCCATCCCGCTCTCCATCGCCGGACATTGATTTCCATGAAGTTGCCATGGCAAGATCTGCCGATCTGTAGCCCAAATTGAGCTGTCGGCCAGATGAATCCCTAGTCCCT